CGCCCATGGCCTTATTTACCATGGTAGAAATGTGTTCATAAAACATTAACTTGGGGTCTAGATATCCATCTCAAATGATTAGGCAGAAACCCTAATAGGTCAAGTTTTTGTGCTAGAAGGGAATGGTTTACCTTTATGGATAAAAGGTTATCTCTAATAAATTTGTGGTTGTTGATCGTCGCCTTGATTGATGGTATATTTGGTAAGTTTTGTCGACGACTGGGTTCCGAGCTGCAGTTATTGATTGACTTAGGCGATTTTCACTTCTTTATAGACAGGACAACCTCTATAGTTGGCAGGAGGTTTTCCCACACAGTTGCTACATTGGCAGATGGGTCCTCCCTATTAACGGGGAAGGCCTCAGTGAGATGGAAATCCCCACAGGCAACGCAGACTGCCCGTAAAGTGCAATAAGTTTTCGTGTGTCCATATTCCTCTCAAATTGTGCATTGAACGGGTCCATTTCGTTTGTGTGGTTCCTCCACGGTGATCCTACGGTGCAGTAGATATTGAAGCTTGAAGATTGGATGAACTTAATTTTTACTTATATGCATACTCTCAGGTGTCAGTTCAGCCTCGAACATTGGCTGGGGAATTTTATTTATATTTAGTATGTTCATAGCCATTTTGACTTCGAAGCCCTTATCGTTAAGTCCATCTATTATCTCATTGATTGGGACTGTTGATTCGATTCCATTGATAACCACTTGTAATCCTTTGCTACTTTTTAGTTACCAACTTCATTCATTTTTTCATTTTCGAGTTATTTCTTTGCCACTGATCGACAGTTTTGTTCGTCATTTTGTTTAATTTATGTATGTGACATGGAATGTGTTTGCGCCAATTTCATCAGTTTGTTTTTTAACCAGTTATAGGTGGCGGCCTTAATTTGTTGGACTTGGGTGTTTGGGTGTCTTCTTCATTTGGGAAACTTAGTGTCGCGAATCTATTGTTTGCCAGTGTCGTATGTGCTTTCAGTTATTTTGGGTGTATGAGTATTTTTGTAGCTTGTGGGCTTAATTTTCTTTACCGAGCTTGTGCTCTTATACGTTGACATTTTTTTTCTATTATATCTATTATTCCTTATTACACGATTGGACTATTTTCATTGGCAACACGAGCACAAGTACCCAGGCATATCCCGAGCGATTTTTCGCGAATTAACTTGAGATCAATTGATTTTCATGGCGGAGCGATAAAAAAATACGTCTGAAGTTGTTGACGGTTATGGCATAATTTAATTTCTAGAGGTGTCGCTCTCTCTTCAATCCTTGTATTTAAATGTCAGAATGTTTGTGGTCCTTTTTGACGTGCTAAACTTAAGTCTTTCATATAGGTAACAAGATTCTTTGGTGTATATAATTTTCTGCAATAATCTCAAAAGCAACTTGCAGCTTTCGTTGGCTGACGGAGTTACAGTCACTAAAGACTTCGATACCATAAAAAAGTACTGGTGTGAGCTACATTGTTGCAATTGTTTGTTTTATTTTCTGTGGTTAAAAGTCTTTATATAGGGATCTAAGGACATATGTTTTTCGGACTGATTTATTTATGTGATCATCCCATGTCAACGTTTTATTAAATATAAAACTTAAATTATTGGCCCGTTTTACATATTCTATAGAAATATTTTCAATGTAAAATGTTTGTAGAATGTCAGTGTTGAACTGTCTTTTATCTATGACTATACATTTTGACTAATTTGGGTTTAATCCCGCACTGACCTGACGCCGGTCAGCGACACCAGGGGACCCTCAACGTCCCGGAAACCCACGAAGGCACCCGACATCGACACGAAGAGACGAAGCCTCAGACGGCGAGAGGGTAAGCTGGCCTCACTTAAGTGAGTAAGGGAACGAATAACGGTGGGATAGGTAGGGAGTAGGAACCGTTAAATAAAATAAGAATCATTGAAAATACTCGATTTCTTCTCCTGAGAGGAAACTGGTAGCTCATGTTGGTATCTCCGACCCCTTCTGCCACGATTTTAGTCCATTTGACTCACATTTGACTAGTCCATTTGACAGAAGCCGGACGCGGAAGCACGGAAGCTGTAGGTCATCCCAGAATTACAGAACAGAATTATATGGAAATGTGTTTTTATTTATTGCTCAAAAATAAAATTCTTGTTGTAATTCCTTTTCCTTATTGAATAAATGCAAATATTATATTTATTCTTACTCAGTAAGAATACGTATGAATACGAGCTCATATCTTTAGTCTTTTTTTTATTTAAAAATCCAAAAAAATGCGTCTATTATTAACTATTATACCTTCTTATTATTGTTTTAATTATTTCAGCTCCTCGACAGTGCTGTCTTTGTGGAAAACTAGCTGAATTTGAATGTAATGAATGTTTTGGAAGTCTGCAAGCTGGATCTGGTCTTGAGTGTACAGCTTTTTGTGAAAAATGCCTTCATACATTTCATATGCATACAAAAAGGTTGGATTTTACAAGTATATATATAAATTTTTAAGTTTATTGATTAAATAAACATCATTTTAGGATTAACCATGTGCCAACAAAAATCTTTATTCCCAAGGACTTCAGAATAATGGCTGATCATATGATAGTACCACGAGTATACATGGAACTAATTTCAGTTGTTTGTATAGAAACATCGCATTATGTAGCGTTTGTAAAATCTGGCTCTGGGCCAGATGCACCATGGTGCTTTTTCGATTCAATGGCTGATAGAAAGGGTAAGTTACAGTGTTACGAGGGCGGTCTGATAAATAGCTAAAAGCAAACGAAAAAAGCTTAGCTCCAAAGTTTTCGACTTTTCCTGAGTTTTTAAAGTCAAATTTTCGTAAAAAATACCGCACAAAAATCATAATTTTTGCATTTCAATGCTTTATATTTCCCAGACGGTAAGCTGAAATCACAAAGTGTTTTCTAGCTGTTTTAATTATCTTTTCAAAATAGCAAAGTTCTTTACAAGCAGACGTAAGATACTAGAGTTATGTGAAAAAAAGAAGCGCTACCTCTGAAAAAAAAAAAAAAAAAACAAATATCATCAAACCATTTCTAAGCCCAAAATCTTTAAGAAAAAGTTGGTTTTTTCCTTGAGGAAAACTCGTGTCGACTAGTGTAATCAGTGTTGCTAATACCGCGAGCATTCCAGAAAACGTTCGGCATGACTTTATTGGCTGAGAAACCTACTTTGGACTTGTTTTGCCTAAAATCACCCGGAGTAACCTACTGTTTTGACTGCTTTGGTTTTTGGTGTGTTCTGGTTTATCTACGGTTTATCCACGTTTACAAAACGACAAAAAAAACTCGTCCTTATTGTGGTTATACACTTCAAAAACTCCTTCAAAGTTGTCTCACGAGTTCGTTTTTGGTCGATTGTGAGCAAACGTGGCAGTCATCTTGCTGAAAAAATTCTCATAACCAAACTATCGTTCAGAATCTTGCTGAAAGATTTCTCATAACCAAATGATCGTTCAAAACGTGATATCACACTGCTACATGTGTATTTCAAAATTTCCCCTTTTGCCCTCACAAAGGACGAAAATCTGTGGCAGCCACAATTTTAAAGATACGATAAAACCATATGACCATATCTACCAGACTGCCGAATCTGAATCAGATCGGATCATAATTATAGCCAGAATGAAGAAATTAATTTTCAGTTGCTTCCCCCGCCTCTTTTAGCAAGAGACCCTACTACTCATTCTCTTTATCGCTTGCATACTCTGCCTCGTTATGTACGCGAGCGCCCGCTGTCGGAGAAGATGTATAATCTAAATGGTACATATATATTCTACATGTTACGCCTAGTACTCAGATCCGAAAAAACACCCCGCTAACAAAATCAAGGTTGATATTCGTATGCAACCGATAAGACATTTTTTCGGTCAAAAACTGTTTTCTAGGCTCTGTACGGAAGGCAGTACTCAGATCAGCAAAAAAAAAGGTCGGTATATACTTGAAAAGTTTCCGAAGTATTTGCTTGTATTGCTGGTATGTTTAGACCCACCTCGAAAATTATATCAATCTGATATATTTTGCCAGCAAACAAGAAGCAAACATTACAATATGAGAACCAAAAACCAAATAATAATGAAGACAAATAGAATCTAATTAATGCAGAATTATATGCAAAAATGCTAAATGCATTTTATGTTTAGGAATTAATCGAAATTAAACAATGATTACACCACTCAACGAAATTAAACTTTTTCTTTAGGCTGTGGACCAAAATGACTTTTCCTGATAGATTTCGGGACTTACAAATTTTTTAAGTATTTTATTTTTTTTATGGTGTAATTTTTTTTTTAGAATTTTTAAAATCTGGTATTTTTTTCATTCCTTAAACGACGCCTAATTAATGCGTCTATCTAAAACTAACGAGAAGGAACGTGTGAGTCGCTTCTAAAGACGCGACTCTACTTATACTCGTACTCAGTCAGTACATTTTACATATTTTTGCTACATCTGTTATCTACATCTACATATATTATGTATATTCTACATCTAACATGTAGATTATACATGTACCATTTAGATTCTACATCTCCTCCGCTAGGGGTTGCTCGCGCACTGAACGCGGCAGAGTGTGCGAGCGAGAAAGAGAATGAGTAGCCGGTCGTTGGCAGGAGGGGGCAGAGGAAGCAACTGAAAATTAATTTCTTCATTCTGGCTATAATTATCTGATTCAGATTCGGCAATCTGGTAGATATGGGCATTCTCTACGATACTGCGTTTTATCGTACCTTTAAAATTGTGCCTGCCACAGATTTTCGTCCTTTGTGGGAGGCGGAAAGGGGCGAAATACACTTGTAGCAGTGTGATATCACATGAGCCTGGAAACCAAATTTAGTTGCCCTAGCTCTTATAGTCTTTGAGATCTAGGCGCTCATCAAGACGGACGGACAGACAGACAGACGGACAGACAGACATGGCTTTATCGACTCGGCTATTGATGCTGATCAAGAATATATATACTTTATGGGGTCGGAAACGTTTCCTTCCCTGCGTTACACACATCCACTTTTACCACAATTCTAATATACCCCTTAACTCTTTTTTGAGTTCGGGTATAAAAATGCTTGCCAAGAAAACGTTTGGAGCATTTCCCTTCAACTATACATGGTGAATTTTTGGTGAGCACTTCAAACAATTCAGGATCCACTGTCGGATCTGGAATTTCTGCCGAAATCACATCGTCAATTTGATTCGGCCTTATATTTTCAATCAGCCAAATTCAAATATGCGCATGAGCAAACCTCGTTTACTCGGTTCCAACGTTTTGTGCATTACCATCGTTGTTAATGGCATCACGCAAATGAACATACTCTTCGGAACGTAATTTAGCTTGGTTGAATCGAAGAAAATTTAACCGTTCCGATTCAATTTTTGCATACATGTCAACAATATACTGGTGGAAAGTGCTCTACACCTCAATTTGTGGTTGTCTTGATTTTGCCGTATCTGCAGCCTGTATGCGTAATAATTCATAGCACTAACTTTCTGTGTTCCTTCTCGACCGTTTACTGGATTTATCATTTTAATGTTGAAATTATAGCCATCTTGTCCGCTCCAAAACAATATGGGATATTGTAGTGCATCATAACAGCGATGAGTCTCGGATACACGTTCAAGTTGTTCATTTCTACGATGAAGCACAATATCACGATTATTAAATTGCTCACCAACTATGACTATTGCCACTTCGTCAACTGTTTGTGCATTGAAACGCCTTGCATGTTCGCCAACCGGTGTTTTATCAGTTCGAATAACAATTTTATGATCGTCAGATGGCATTCGATCAAGCGATGTTTTGAAAACCAGAACCAATTCGTTGTGCTCGTGGAACATATTTTGCAAAACAAAAATAATTTGTCTCCGCGTGTTGGTAATAATGCCACACCGACGATCAGCTTCGTCTTCCGCGTTCCCGATAAAATATAATTGCAAAAATTGGTGGTCTGCGTTGTCGAAAGGTAACAAAGAGCCAGCTCGATGGTATATTTGACCTTGAATCTGAATAAAATATATGATAAAATGAGAACAAACTTACAATTTGCATAAACAAAACTATTTAATTACCTTGAACGTTGGCATGAAGTTGTCTCTTATAATATTTGTGGCGCCAAAAGATGTCATTTGAAAACTCGAATTATACTTTCGTATATTGTTCAAAAAATGATTAGACTCAGGTGTCAATCCATTAAGTAATGTGCTCAATGGTTGTGGTGGGCTGCCTAATTCAGGCAATTTCACTTCACCACTCGCACAGCACATCCCATCTGCTTCACCTTTAAATTTAAATGCCTGACAATGGCGACAACGGTCGTTCATTGAACCAATTATAATTTGCCTATGAGAAGCGTAATCGGTGACACTACTGTACGCGATCGCAACACCTTGTAGATTTTGAATATCAGGACGTTCATTTGCAGTTGTTGTTGCATCATTGATCCGTTGATTTGAACGGGACCTTGCTGTGCGTAGACGATTATTTTCATTGCGATGTCTAATGTCTTGGCTACTTTCACGGCTCCTTGAAGCCACAACTTGAAACGAATTTCGCGTTCGCCGACCCAAATTGTATCGTCTCGACATTTAATTTTAAAAACCACACAGGTTGGTTTAAAACGCACAAATTTTCAAAAGCAACAAATATACTTACACAAATTGCAATTTTTTCAGAAAACAAATTTTCACACAAAAAGTTATAAAAAACAAAATCTATCAACAAATGTTCTGTTCTACAGAATGACAAAAAATGAAATGAAATAGGCGTTCAAACACACATTTTTAGACCAAATTTGTTCTACAGAATGACACAAAATGAAATGAAGTAGGCGTTCAAACACACATTTTTAGACCAAATTAGAGATTTTTTTTGATTAATTTTTAGTTTTTGTGGAACCTATTTATAGAAAAGTGAAAACTTTTGTAAAGAAAGAATGCCGCATGCTCTGGCTATCATTAAAAAAAAAACCGCATGCAATTTGCTGCACGCGTTGCGGAGAAATAAAATGAAATAGGCGTTCAAACACACACTTTTGGACCAAATTTAAGATTTTTTTGATCCGTTCCCGTTGTTTACATATCTGCCCTCTGTTGGACTGTTTATACCCGTACTCGAAGATTTATTAGGTCAAAGCGGATGTGTGTAACGCACAGAAGGAAGCATTTCCGACCCCATAAAGTATATATATTCTTTTTCAGTATCAATAGCCGAGTCCATCTAGCCAGGTCTGTCTGTCCGTCCGTCTTGTTTGTCGCCTAGTTCTCAGAGATATCACACTGAATCAAGTTCACTTCGAAATTTTTCCACGCCTCTTCGGCCTTCACAAAAGTCGAAAATCTCTGGCATTCAAAATTTTAAAGATATGAGAAAATAATAAAACGCAGCATCGTAGAGAATGGTCTTCCAGATTGCCGAATCTGTTTCAGATAATGAAATTGGGTTTTAAGCGCTGCAGCCGCTACTCATTCTCTCTCTCGCTCACGCTCTGCCTTGCCTCTTTCAGTGTGTATTTGCCTTCGTGTTGGTTGTCTTCGTAAAAAAACACATTAAAACATGCGAGTGGCTGCGTGCCGATCCCTGATGTATAATGACTGAGTACGGGTATAAAAGAAGAGTCGCTGCCATTGCAACTCACAAAGTTTCCCCTCGTTTTATTATTTTTTTGAGAAGTAAAGCCTGCTTCCTTAAGAAAATGTTGTGCATAGAAAATAATACGATACATTTTACATATACCTTTATATATGCCTTTTATATTTTTTTTTTAGGCGAACAGAATGGATATAACATACCGGAAATTATATGTGTTCCCGAATTAACACAGTGGCTTTCCGATGAAGGGGCGCGCACTATTAATGAAACATCGCCTAATGATAAAGCTCTACCTGAACACGCCAAGCGTATTTTTTGCGATGCTTATATGTGTCTGTATCAAAGCACAGACACTATGATGTACCATTAATAAAATTCAGAAAAATCTTTTTTTTTTAATAAAGATTTTACAATGCCTAGAAATTGTTTGCTTATTTCAGATTTTAATTTGTTACATGTTGAAAACGATTTCCTCCTCGACATTGCCGGGTAAGTCAATAGTCATTGTGGATCTACAGCAGGGCTCGGCACGGACCATCCAATGGGTATAGGAAAAATACGCTGCCGTTCACGTGCACGTGTATTACATTGCTTGGCACCAATGCAATGTTGTTTTGCGTGCTGTATTTAAACCAGTGATGCCATTTCAGCCTTTTTCCGGACAGATCCCCATTAAATGTAATGTAAAAGTAAGCTACCGGTGGCTGTCGGCAGCGAGAGTATAAGCGCGCGAGAGCGCGCCACCGGGGGAAAAATGCTCATAAGCGTGAGAGCGGGTCAAAGACACACCGTGGAAAATCACGGTCTCAGGTGCGATCGCCAGCTGCTTAAAAGGCCCAAGATCGGCCGAAGAAGGAGGCAGTCCATCAGAGCGAACCCAAAAGGCTAGACTAGGCAGTACATCAGCCCAAACTCAAGACACTACACTAGGCAGTCCACCAGCCAGAGACTCAAGTAACAACACCGGCAGTTATTTAAAGTGTCTAATCCAAACCAAAACAAAAATACAAACATAAGTTCTTCGGTAATCCAACGTTCCACCTGACCTACCCCTCTTTCGGTCATACAAGGCCACTCGCGAGCCTTAACTACCAGCAAATCTAAAAATTTCTTGTGAGGAACCCTGGACAGGCTGATGCATATCCCAGCTTGAAATAAGGTTCGATTCCGTAATAAAAACTCAATCATTTTATAATAATTTTCGCTTTATTTTTATTTTTTTGGTTATCTTCTTTTTTCCTTGCCAGTCAAATTCTAGCCGTTTGAAATGGTAGCTAACTATAAACTTCAAGTAAGTTTTGTGTGTTAAAATTAGTTAGTTAATTGTATTAGTGTTAAACGGCCTTATGAGAAAGTCGGTCGCTGGGCTAACTGATCATTTAGCTGCAGTCGGCTGTGACTGCAAGCTCGGAGCAAAGATCTTACAAGGGGATTTAGATGGGAAGAAGGCTTTGCTTGATGTTTTGATTTTTTTTCCAGTATCTCCTCTCTTACGAGTTTGATATTCAAGTCTATGTGGATATTTTCGTTCCGAAGGTACCATGGTTTTCAGAGTTCTGCACTGGCTCGCTGGATAATGCCGATGTTGATTCTGCTGGTTTTGCCCCATAACTCGAAACCATTTGTTTGGTTTCAGCACGTAGTTGTACAGGACGACTTTATAGCAACGACCGCAATCATTATAGGCTACTAGTGGACCCGACAGACGTTGTCCTGTCTTGATTATGAATATTAATTTCGAATTGGTATAATTAACTAAACAAATATTTCAGAAAGAAAGTGTTTATTATTCTAATGCTTTATGATACACAACATTCTTGGTTTTTTTTTCTGGCGCGTATATAAATAGTTTTGTTTGTATTCCGACACTGGAACAAGCGACATATAACTAGCAATGCGAAAAACATTATTTGCAGATTAATGCCCCAAATATTTAGCGACTGCCCCTGAGATTTATTTATCGACGTTGCAAATACTAGCCGCTTATTACATTACAATACAATACATTACATTACATTCGAGTTAAACATGTAACTGATACAATTGTATCAATTGTATGTAATAACATTTACCTAGATATATAAAACAACAACATGAAGAATTATTGAATTAAACATAAACAAAAAACCGACATCACGACTTTTTAAGTCCACGCGCCAACAATGTGACCAGCGATCCTAACGAACGGCAACACTCCAAGATTAAGATCCACGCGCCAACAATGTGACCAGCGATCCTAGAAAACGGTCACAATCCAAAATTTGAATCCGCGTGCCAACAGTGTGCAAACTATCAGAACCAAACGGTCACACTAGCAGCTGATCGTGCCTTGCCTCTTTCAGTGTGTATTTGCCTTCGTGTTGGTTGTCTTCGTAAAAAAACACATTAAAACATGCGAGTGGCTGCGTGCCGATCCCTGATGTATAATGACTGAGTACGGGTATAAAAGAAGAGTCGCTGCCATTGCAACTCACAAAGTTTCCCCTCGTTTTATTATTTTTTTGAGAAGTAAAGCCTGCTTCCTTAAGAAAATGTTGTGCATAGAAAATAATACGATACATTTTACATATACCTTTATATATGCCTTTTATATTTTTTTTTTAGGCGAACAGAATGGATATAACATACCGGAAATTATATGTGTTCCCGAATTAACACAGTGGCTTTCCGATGAAGGGGCGCGCACTATTAATGAAACATCGCCTAATGATAAAGCTCTACCTGAACACGCCAAGCGTATTTTTTGCGATGCTTATATGTGTCTGTATCAAAGCACAGACACTATGATGTACCATTAATAAAATTCAGAAAAATCTTTTTTTTTTAATAAAGATTTTACAATGCCTAGAAATTGTTTGCTTATTTCAGATTTTAATTTGTTACATGTTGAAAACGATTTCCTCCTCGACATTGCAGGGTAAGTCAATAGTCATTGTGGATCTACAGCAGGGCTCGGCACGGACCATCCAATGGGTATAGGAAAATACGCTGCCGTTCACGTGCACGTGTATTACATTGCTTGGCACCAATGCAATGTTGTTTTGCGTGCTGTATTTAAACCAGTGATGCCATTTCAGCCTTTTTCCGGACAGATCCCCATTAAATGTAATGTAAAAGTAAGCTACCGGTGGCTGTCGGCAGCGAGAGTATAAGCGCGCGAGAGCGCGCCACCGGGGGAAAAATGCTCATAAGCGTGAGAGCGGGTCAAAGACACACCGTGGAAAATCACGGTCTCAGGTGCGATCGCCAGCTGCTTAAAAGGCCCAAGATCGGCCGAAGAAGGAGGCAGTCCATCAGAGCGAACCCAAAAGGCTAGACTAGGCAGTACATCAGCCCAAACTCAAGACACTACACTAGGCAGTCCACCAGCCAGAGACTCAAGTAACAACACCGGCAGTTATTTAAAGTGTCTAATCCAAACCAAAACAAAAATACAAACATAAGTTCTGGAGTCATTTCTTCGGTAATCCAACGTTCCACCTGACCTACCCCTCTTTCGGTCATACAAGGCCACTCGCGAGCCTTAACTACCAGCAAATCTAAAAATTTCTTGTGAGGAACCCTGGACAGGCTGATGCATATCCCAGCTTGAAATAAGGTTCGATTCCGTAATAAAAACTCAATCATTTTATAATAATTTTCGCTTTATTTTTATTTTTTTGGTTATCTTCTTTTTCCTTGCCAGTCAAATTCTAGCCGTTTGAAATGGTAGCTAACTATAAACTTCAAGTAAGTTTTGTGTGTTAAAATTAGTTAGTTAATTGTATTAGTGTTAAACGGCCTTATGAGAAAGTCGGTCGCTGGGCTAACTGATCATTTAGCTGCAGTCGGCTGTGACTGCAAGCTCGGAGCAAAGATCTTACAAGGGGATTTAGATGGGAAGAAGGCTTTGCTTGATGTTTTGATTTTTTTTCCAGTATCTCCTCTCTTACGAGTTTGATATTCAAGTCTATGTGGATATTTTCGTTCCGAAGGTACCATGGTTTTCAGAGTTCTGCACTGGCTCGCTGGATAATGCCGATGTTGATTCTGCTGGTTTTGCCCCATAACTCGAAACCATTTGTTTGGTT